GCTCTCCAAGACTGCTGGCATTAACTTCAAACTACATTTTGCTGAAAATATCTACGACAGCAAAACCTATAACTTGGGTATACTAATGACTACCCATGCTTTGGATAAAAATGTTCCCGCTATGTTCGATTTAAGCAAAGAACTTTTAATGAATTACAAAATGGACGATGAGGAACGTGTTAAAATGTTAATAGACAACTACATGTCCAGCATAGCGGTAGGCATAGCCAATTCAGGTCACTTATATGCCATGCAATCCTGTGCTGGTCTAGTTACTGACTCTGCCAGACTGAAGTCCTTGTTGGCCGGCGTTGAGCATATAGAACACATGAAACAATATGTTAAGAATCACAGCACACAACAAATTATGGATAATTTGAAGTTATTGGGTCAGAAATTATTCAATAAAAAGTCCATGCGCACGGCAGTCAATATATCGGATGAATTTTATCCCGAGTTTATAAAACACTACGAACAGTTCCTTAACGATTTGCCCGAACATGCTGTGGAAAAGGTGGAAAATAAGGTACAACTTTTAGAGCCCAGTTGCCAACATTTTGTTATGAACATACCAGTAAACTATTGTGCCAAGGCCATGTTTACCGTACCCTATACACACCGTGATCATCCCACACTCAGAGTTTTAGCAAAACTCATTTCAGCCAAATATCTATTGCCGGTAGTTAGAGAACAAAATGGTGCTTATGGTGCCGGTGCTAAATTGGGCTCTGATGGCATATTTAGCTTTTTCAGTTACCGCGATCCCAATTCAACGAAAACCCTCGAAGCCTTCGATAACACCTATCAATGGCTACAAGACAACAATTCTCAAATAACCGAACAAACTTTGTTTGAAGCCAAATTGGGTGTATTGCAGCAATTAGATGCTCCCATAGCACCCGGCAATATGGGTATAGACTTCTTTTTGTATGGCGTTTCACAGGAAATGTTCATGAAATATCGTTCTCGTATGCTGGCCGTTACCATGAACGAATTGCAACAAGTGGTGGAGAAGTACTTTAAAACAGCACCCGCCTACTATGGCAAATGTATATTGGGACCGGAAAATAAAGAATTGGAAACTGTTACCAAATTAAAATGGAAGACTATTCAATAAATTTAACTATAATCGATGTAATTTTTAACTTTAATTCCTTATGATTTTGTTTCACTGTAAATCCCTCAGTCGTAGTGGTCAATTTTATATAAAATTTAGCTTTGACTGTTGCTGTTCTTCTTTTTTTACTATTATAAATATTTGTTATTTAATGTATTTTTTTATGTGTAAAAATATTCACATTTTATACTTTATTTTAGTATATACTAATCTGCGTTTATATTCATTAAATATATTTAATTATTAATATTAAATGTTGCTTAATTTAAAGGAATATTTTTGCTTTAGTTGTTTTTGGTACTGATTTTTTTAAATTTTGTTTTCAGTTTTTATTTTTTTTTTTAAATTAAATTTTTGTAACTTGCACTTGTTGCATCTGCAAATTTAAACTTTATGATGAAATGATTTTCAAAATCTTAAATGTTCTTCAGCAAGTAACAGAAAATTGGTAATAAACAAAATTGTTTAATTGTTAAGTTATTTCTTATTGTAGTTTGCACTTGCAAACAGGAGAATAAAAAAATGTTAATTGAACATTTTTAAATGTTAAACTATACACTTAAATAAAAACATACATTAGAAATAGTAATAAACGAAACGTTAAATATTAAATAATTTTGCGTATTTTATTTACTTTGGTTTTCAAATAATCCGATATTTAAGGGAAAAGAGGAATATAGTTTTTGTGAAATGTATATTCCTTTTGTATACATTGCTCCCATACGATGATACAAGCGCTTTGCTTAAGTACTCGCAAATCTATCTAATCTCTGACCATTGCTGGTCCGTTACATAACTTCCATATGAACAGGTTTGAACAGAGCCGAGCCGGAACACATCTGGGCAAAGAAACGAATTCTTATGGTGTCAACCGAACAAGATACCATACTTCCACCACCATTCAAACCAGAACATTTTCATTTATCAAGAGAAAATATCCCACACATTCATACGAGCATATATACGAGGCTAGATCCATATACCGCTGATTTATTCCGCATCTCATACCAATCTCTTCTCAACTTTAGTCCCACAGTCACTACTCTGTGAGTCATCTGTTGCCTTATGGGATTCTCTCGAATATATTTTTAATTCGGTACTCTTTACGACGAACGGTTTTTCATTTGTCAGGTTAACCTCTTCAAGAAGAGTATTCGGTTATGGCTCTCTCACAATACGGTCATTGGACTTAGCAGGTGACCCTGCTAAGAACCTTCTGTCTACCCGAAAATATGTTAACCTCTGTTGGCGTGGTATTAAATCCAATTAATTTTATACATTCCATGATGCTACGGATTTCCGCCTAAAAGGTAATGTTGTGATTAGCCGGTATTATATTTCGGTTTTCCAATGTAGAACAGTTATGTCTCCAGTTAAGAGTCATTTGTGTAACCATAGATGACCGCATGGGTTTGTTCTTACTATATGCTTACCCGTGATCTCCTATCTGCTTGTCCATGATCACGTATCAAAAGTCAATTACGTCGTGGTTTCGTTTCACATCTAAGGCACTGGTAAAGGAGAGCACAGGAGACCCTATGGAGGCCTAGTTTTATTTTGTTAAGATGAACAGGGCAGGCAGCGATGGCAAACGGAAGGAACTAATGAACGAATCTTGGAACGAACGAACGAGAAGAACGAACGAACGAACGAACGAACGAACGAACGAACGAACGAACGAACGAACGAACGAACGAACGAACGAACGAAAACGAACGAAACGAACGAACGAACGAAGAACGAACGAACAACGAACGAAAACGAACGAACGAAAGACGAAACGAACGAACGAACGAACGAACGAACGAACGAAACGAACGAACGAACGAACGAACGAACGAACGAAAGAAACGAACAACGAACGAAAGAACGAAAACGAACGAACGAACGAACGAACGAACAACGAACGAACAACAAAAGAAGAACTAACGAACGAACGAACGAACGAACGAACGAACGAAGAACGAACGAACGAACGAACGAACGAACACAACGAAACGAACGAACGAACGAACGAACGACGAACGAACGAACGAACGAACGAACAACGAACGAACAACGAACAACGACGAACGAACAAGAACGAACGAACGAACGACGAACGAACGACGAACGAACGAAAACGAACGAACGAACGAACGAACGAACGAAAGAACGAACGAACGAACGAACGAACGAACGAACGAACGAAACGAACGAAGAAGAACGAAAAGAACGAACGAACGAACGAACGAACAAGAACGAACGAACGAACGAAACGAAACGAACGAACAACGAACGAACGAACGAACGAACGAACGAAACGAAAAACGAACGAACGAACGAAACGAACGAACGAAACGAACGAAAGAACGAACAACGAACAACGAACGAACGAACGAACGAACGAACGAAGACGAACGAACAAGAACGAAACGAACGAACGAAAGAACGAACGAACGAACGAAACGAACGAACGAACGAACGAACGAACGAACGAACGAACGAAGAACGAACGAACGAACGAAAGAACGAACGAACGAACGAACGAACGAACGAACGAACGAACGAACGAACGAACGAACGAACTAACGAACGAACGAACGAACGAACGAACGAACGAACGAAACGAACGAACGAACGAACGAACGAGAACGAACGAACGAACGAACGAACGAACGAACGAACGAACGAAACGAACGAACGAAGGAAACGAGACGAACTAACGAACGAACGAACTAACGAACGAACGAACGAACGAACGAACGAACAAAAAAACGAACGAACGAAGAAACGAACTAACGAACGAAACGAACGAACGAAACGAACTAACGAACGAACTAACGAACGAACGAACGAACGAACGAACGAACGAACGACGAACGAAAACGAACGAACGAACTAACGAACTAACTAACTAACTAAGAACAACTAACTAACTAAACGAACTAACGAACGAACTAACTAACGAACTACTAACTACTAACGAACTAACGAACTAACGAACTAAAACTAACTAACTACTAACTAACTAACTACTAACTAACTAACTAACTAACTAACTAACTAACTAACTAACTAACTAACTAACTAACTAACTAACTAACTAACTAACTAACAACTAACTAACTAACTAACTAACTAACTAAACTAACTAACTAACTAACTAACTAACTAAACTAACTAACTAACTGACTAACTAACTAACTAACTAACTAACTAACTAATTAACTAACTAAACTAACTACATTACGATCGTACACTTCTTCTTAAACCCATAGGCCAATGTTAACTTTTGGTTTGAGGAGCGCTAAATCCAAATCTGGCCCCATAGTCGTACATAATGTTTGGAAAAAAACAGTTTTTGGCCAGATTTGAGACGCTATAACAGCTCGAAATATAATCTGAAAGTCCAAACTGTTGACTTTAAAATAAAGGTTTAACCACTGTGATATCTTCTTCTTTCTTCGATATAATATAATAATATTAAAATATTATTTTACTTTAAAAACTTAATTGTTTAATTGTTTTTTTAATGTATAATTAAGTAATAATACTTTTTATTTCAGATATGTCTCTTCCTAAAGGTTTCACCAATTCCAGTGAATATTTTCACGAAGTTAACGAATTTCTTAAGAAATATTCATGGATTTATAGAGAAGCAAATACTGGATTTCTAAAAGCCGGCATTTTAAAACAAATGCCACAAGGGTATCAAAATTACTTCAAAGAAATAACAAATGAAGAACTAAATAGGTTTCCCTATATACATGAACAACTAGACCTTTTAAATGAAGAAAGTATAAAGAACTTTCGTGACCAATTAAACGAATTAATACCCCCGGAGGCCTTCAAAGAGCCTAGAGATATGGAAAAAACAATTAAAATGGAAAATCTTAAAAAGATGAATGTTAAAAAACAACATGAAATACAAAGATTGGCTGCAGTGGTAAAGGAAAATTTAAAATTAAATGAAAATGGAAATGAGCAGCAAGATAAATATGTGCTAATAGACTTTGGTTCTGGTTTAGGCTATTTAAGTGAGTTGTTGTATAAACTAAATAGTAATATCATGGTATTGGGTTTAGAAGCCGACACCTATCGCGTAGAAGCGGCAGAGAAACGTGTAAAGACATACATGCCTACTGCCAACAACTCTATACAATATCGACAACAATTTATAACAGAAAAATCACAAGAATTCATTGTTCAAACTGTAGAGGAAGTTTTCAAATTGAATTATCAGCAAGTGCCACCACAAACAACAACCACTAAGATGGCAATAATTGGTTTACATGCATGTGCTGATTTAACTATAACATCCTTAAAACTCTTTCTACAAATGCCGCAAGTACAGCATCTAATCATTATGCCATGTTGTTACCACAAGTTGCAGGTGTGTGATGAGAATGCGGTCACCACGACTGCTTTAAGGTTTAGAAATTTCCCCTTAAGTGAAAGTCTTAAAAAAGTGCTGCTAAACAATGCTGACAAGTCCAATTATGCTGAAACTAATGAAACTTTTGCAACATATTTAAATCGTCCCTTTCTACGTTTAGCCTGTCAGCAGACTTTAAAACGTTGGAGCAAATGTTCATCATGTGAACATCTTAAACATGGTAATGAAATGTTTTTAAGAGCTGTAGCAGAATTGCTAAAAACGGAGGGAGAGCAGGAGGAGGAGCAGGAATTAATAGTGGTAAAACGTAAAGAAGAAACTATTAATCTGAGTTCTTTGTCGGCTGAGGATTTGAAAAGTTTTGAAACATTTAGTCGTTTTTATGGTTTAAAAAGTAAGAGCACAAATGATTTTATAGCTTGGTCGGAACGACATCGCTTGAGATATTTTGAAACTGTAGAAAAATATCCAAATGGTGGCAAACTGGCAGAAGGTTTGACATGTCTACAAACATCTATGCAGGTAAGTGTTTCATTTTAAATTGAAAGTCTGAATTATATTTAATTTTAATAAAATCATAAACGGGAAACATTTTATTAGGTCTAGAAAGTAGTTCTAGAGTGCAATATTATAAAACTGTACCTTTTCTAGTTTGGCGTTGTGTTTAATTATATTTTTTCGAAATTTTCACCTTCGCGACTATACTTTTTTACTTATTTCGGACTCGTACATTTTAAAGGTCAGGTATTTCAGACTGTTACAACATAGATATTGTCACAGATACATTTGGATTAAAAAAGGTCCCTTTGTGCTTGCCTGTAAGAGAATGGAGAGGAGATAAGGGGGAGATATGTACCAAAAGTAATAAAATGGAAGTAATAACCGATACCTGAGGACCTAACAGAGACTTTTGAAGACCTGAAGATAGAATGATCTAAACATATTCAGCTTAATGTACTTACCCAATGTTCGTTCACGATCCTTTACTAGAACTGGACAATCGCATAGAAGTTGTGCTATCATCTCCTCCTTATCTTCATTACGATAACTCCTATAAAGATCATTAATAACCGATACCAGTGTACCTATTGAACTTTTGAAGACCAGAAGATAGGATGGTCTGAACATATTCATTTTAGGCAATAAATACCTAGTGATAGCGCAAGAATACTCTTTGTGACCAGCAGCCATAAGGTGCCATAAAATATATTTTTTGAATAAGAGTTTTGATGGAGAATATCACAAAACTTGACTCAATTTGAGTTGGGTTACTTTTGAATTAGCTGTGCGATATGTAAGAAATGAGGAATCAGAAGCTTTTGATGTTTTGGGCATGAGAATATGTGTTCGCTGGACTTAACACATGATACAATTGTCAAATGAAGTATTCAAGGGTATCGGTTCTTAAAAATTGGTGTAAGAAATACTTCACTCGATCTGATCTTCTTACTATTTACACTACTATATCCGTGGAAAATTGAAATCCAAGGATGTAACTCGATTTTTAAATACATTCTATTTCTATATACGGATTTAAATTGAACTATCCGACCTAGTTGTTTCGGATCTAGGATGTTTTTTAACAATATTTGTATAACCAATGAATAATTATAATCAAACAACTGGTTTCTTGAGAACTTTTTAGAAGTAATTTAGTAGAGGAATCTCTAAAAGGGAAAATTTTTCTTTAATTTCCAAAGGGTTGACTCAATTTTATTAAAATTGTCTAGAGATGAAGTATTCCTGAGTCTATGTTTTGAATTTGGTTCTTTTAAACGCATGAGGACAGTCAAATTTATATCCTACAGCATTAAAGTTGTGAAGGGTGCTGATGTTTGTAACGCAACATGATCCATGGTGCTATACCCAAGTTAGTGTATGCAAATCGGCAAATCGATTAAACCATCTCCGTCTGTCCGTCTATATTTCCATATATACCTTGAGCGCAAGGTGCAGGTCGAAAGTTTTAATATTATTAAATTAATTTTGGCGCATACGATTTTTGTAGTTCAAAAGTTATTGAAAATAGGCCATAATATGTTATAATATCTATCGTTTCAACTAATTTTTAGATAAACCTATTTTCATAATATTAGGGGCTCATTAAGCTTCTTTCAGAAAATTTGTCTTACATCTATAAAAAACAGCACTTTTTCTATTTTCTCTCATTTTGCTTTAGAAACTTTGTGAAAATCTGGTGCTCTACGATCGTCTATGCTATATGGAGGAGACAGCATTAAAATTTAACTTAAAAATCAATGTACGCTATGAAAAAATTATGGATGAGGAATTATCTCCTCGTTGTTATGTCTTAATAGCTGAAAAACTATAATTCAGGTCTTTGTATACATATCTCTTTTTTAAACTTTAAAAATAAAATTTTAAATAGTAATAAAAATTAAGTTAAAAACACAGGATAACATTATTTTTATTAATTCCCATAACATGACTGACAGCAAATGCAGTACAAACCCATGTTCGTTTATCTTTATATCTTTATACAAGTTGCATTTCGTATTATCTGCGGCATTATTAAATTTAATCATGTGTTAAATTAATTTAGATTAAGACAATTATTTAAAAGTGCACTTGTGAAGGTTTAATACTTACTGTACACATATTATTTAAGAATTCAGCGTGGGTTAAGGTCAATTTAAATATGTGGTGAGGAGAAGGTATATAATCAGGTAACAAAAATCATATAATAGTTTACTCTCAATAAGTTAGTATTTGACAAACATAGGTAGTAGAAATAAGGATTATACAATATATTCACTTACAAATCACACCTGAAGACTCTGAAAATGATCATTGATGTCTGTTCTCGTACGGCGAACTCTGTACATAAATAAATGGCGAAGGGTCATATTGGCTCAGACGATAATTTTATTATTGCTTTGGAACGACGCAAATTATAATCGGCCAAAAAATGTCCAGCGAAAGTAGTATCAAGCAAGGTCAGTAGAATAAGTCGACACTTTTGCTCAAAACCCTGTTAATTGAGGCTCGAGATGGACAGAATGAAATACCAATATCTATCTGAATGCTCTTGCCATTGCCCGGGTCATTACATTGCGTAATTCTATTTTAATCCTATGTACCGATTGTAACAACTAATGTAATCCGAAAAGATGATCTTATTTACGAAAGAGAGAATGTAATTGCTGTAATGAAAATGAAGCGGTAGTTAGGACCACTGAAATCCCTATAGAATTTTATGACTCCGATTTGGTAGGACTCTAAACTTTCTCGGAATGAATAAGTCCGAACTTAGTTTGATGGTACGCAATCTTAGTGGACACATACATAGGCTTACGAGCACAACTAAACAAAATTTGTCCAACGGATTCAGATAAATGTGGAGCATGCGGAGAGGACATTGAAACCTTGAAAGACTTTCGTCGAAATTAGATCCAAAAAGATGTTACAGCCCTCAGGAATAATGACTAGAAAAATTCTACTCCCAGAATACTGAGTTTTTGAAAAATTTCTCCCACAGATCGCTATAAAAGTTTTTTAATAACCACCATAAGGAAAATAGGGTTATATGGATTTTGTGATTCCGTTTATAACACATCGAAATATAGGTCTAAGACTATTATATACTTTAAAGACTCTAAGACGATCGAGACATATTCGTCTGTGATACTAAAATCCCGATAGTGTCCGAAATAGCTAGAGAGCTGAAATGTTATTAGTTGAAAGTGTTTGTTTGATATTGAAAATGGGCAATATTGGTCCTGGCTTAAAAATCTTAATATAGCAATGAAACAAGTTTTATAAGATGATCCAATGTTAGATCTTATTAAGATCTAACTCGATGCAATAATCTAGAAACATGTAGAGGTTCCAAGTTATTGTGTCCTTTTTTCAATTGAGAAACACACAAGACAAGTTTTATCCGAAATAGACGGGATATATCGATGTTGATAGCAGTAATTACTAGATACTAGGTGCTAGGCTGACATGCAAGTCGTCTTGGGCACTCCTTCAATGAATATTGTAGCAGTTGCAAAGACAGGGAAAAGGCAGAGACAGCCTTCAATATTTTATGCCCGATATCTATGAGATATTGGGTTAAAACTCCTAATTCCTAAGAATCTTCCAATCAGTGTTAGTCGGGAATGTTATTTCCGGAATAACATCACTTCCAAGATACTTGGATCTAACTTCGACGAATGCCTGGCAGTGGCAAAGAAAGTGCTCCAGAGTTTCACTGTCCTCTCCACATGCTCTACATTCGTCTGAATCCGCACGTCCAATTTTGCATAGATGTGCTCTTAATCCTGTGTGTTCACTCAGAATACGTACCATCATACTAACTTCAGACTTGCTCATTTTAAGGAGATTTTTCGCCTCGCTCTCATCAGGGTCACCCCATAGGATCTTCGTGGTTCTACCCACTGTTTTATTCCAAGAGGCCTTATGGGATTCTCTCACCCATATTTTTAGTTGAGCTTTTGTTGCGTCGAATGGTTTCGCGTTTGTCAGGTTTACTGCTTCGAGCTCCCTACCTTTTAAAGCTGTTACATTCGCCCTTTCGTTACCAACTACTCCCGAGTGGGCTGGTACCCATATGATGTGAACCTTACCTCTGGGAGAGTATTCAGTTAAAGCTTTCTTACAATCCAATACGATCTTAGATTTAGTTCTAAGCGCTGTGGGCGCCATATTTATTCTACTCCAATTTACGCATTCCGTTATTGCTCGTACTTCTGCCTGGAAGCTTGTGTTATGATTTGGTAAACGGTGGTATATTTCTTTTTCTGGGTCTTCAATATAGAACCCCAGCCCCACTTTGTCCCCCAATTTAGAGCCATCCGTGTAACAACGGATTCCTACTGGTATTTGCTCTAATGTTCCGCTTGACCAAGACATTCTATCTGGGATCAGCGTTTCAAAGTTTCCGACATATTCTGTGTCTGGTATACGATCAGGCACGTCCGATGATTGTGTATAACCTTCCAATGTGTCCAGTATACATTGATGACGTGTCCTAGAACCGCTTTTGGCCAGTTCGCCTAAAGTAAAGAGCCGTTCGGCTGTAAGCGCCGCCTCATATCTTAAATATGTTTCAATGGGTGCAAAGTTTCCAGAGCCTTGGTTGAAGTAGTACACATAGCACCACTTATACCCAAGCAGCATGTACGCTGAACTCCCTGTAGTAGTTTGATATTGCACTTTTTGTCTAAAGCAGTCCACCAGATTATTGAAGCCTAAAGCCAATTTGTCATAGTAGGACTAAGACCCCATTTCATGCCTATAGTTCTCCTACATATCGCCTAGCACCGATGTGCCTTGTTGATCCTATTCTCTATGTAGTGTCTCCATTTTAATTTCCGGTCGAGGATTACAACTAAGTACCTAAGTAGTTTTGGGTAGCGAAGTACGCAGGGTTTGTTAGTATATTAAATAAGAAGTAACGGTTGGTACTCAAGGTAATCAAAGTATTATGGAGGGAAACTCTGGAACCAAGAAATCTAACCTAAAAACTAATTCAAAATAAAACACTTTTAGTTGTTCTTTTATTTTGCTTTATTTTAGCATTTGTGCCGTTTTTTTATTATTTTATTCACTTAATAATTTTTCATAAATATTTTTAATTTATTTTTGTTGTTGTTGTATTATAATACATAATCGTTTATCGCTAATTAATAATTAATTTTTTTATTAAATTTTTAACAATATACATAAAAAGAATGTGTTGTTTTTATAATGAATTTGTTCGGCAAATATGTTTAACAAAGACACTAAATAATAATAATAATAAAAGTCTGTTTAAATGTCATGTCATTTTTGCCAGGAATTTATTTATTTTTCTTTTGTCTGTTCTATTTCTATTCATTAAACAATTTTCGTATCGTATATGTGTATAGTTTAGTATATTTAATTAATTTATTTTTATGTTTGTTTAAATATGTCGTTATATTTTAGTTAATTAATGTTATTTTATAACAATATATAATATAAATTAATTAGATTTTGTTGTTAACTATATACAAATATAATAAATACATACAAGTTTCTAAATAAATAAAATAATTAACTAAAAATATATTTCACTAGAATTAAAATTTATCCAGCCCTGTGTTGATTTTTTTTTTTTGTATTATAAACTAAATTTTAATTCTAGTTGAATTTTTTATAATTATTTGTTTTTAATATTTATACATTTTAACTTAAGAAAATTAAAAAAAAAAACATTTATATATTAATTTAGCATACATTTTGTTCTAAATTTGAAAGGGTATTTGCTTTTCGCTTTTCTTTTTAATTATAATAATATTTTATATTTTATTTTATTTTAAATATGTGGGAAGTTAAGGATTTTAATTTTAATTTTTCCCTAGTTTGTATGTGTGTGTTTATATGTATGTTTGTAAAATATACCCATTACTTTTTATCGTCATCATCAACATCATTATCGTTTAAAACATTATCATCATCAGTGTCATCATCATTGTCGTCATTAAGGAGGCCAGCACCAGTAGCACCAGTTGAGTGTACTTCATTTTCGTTTTCATCATCGTTAATTGCAGCATTTTTAAAATAAAACATTGTTGAGTCACTGTAAATGAAGGAAGGAAGAGAGAAGGGAAAAAGGGTATACACAAATAATATCCACAGTATAAATATATCTAAACATTTTGAGGTTTCGCGGAATATCCTCCAACATTATAGCGTTTATCAGTACTTCTACTTTTTTAGGTATTACCAGATTTTAGAGTCTATATACTGGACTACGTATAGACTAGACTATTCTAGTATAGTCTAGTCTATAGACTAGACTATAGACTAGACTATAGACTACACTATAGACTAGACTATAGACTACACTATAGCCTAGACTATAGACTAGACTATAGACTAGACTATAGGCTAGACTATAGACTCACTATAGACTACACTATAGACTATAAACTAGACTATAGACTAGACTATAAACTAGACTATAGACTAGACTATAGACTAGACTATAGACTAGACTATAGACTAGACTATAGACTAGACTATAGACTAGACTATAGACTAGACTATAGACTAGACTATAGACTAGACTATAGACTAGACTATAGACTAGACTATAGACTAGACTATAGACTAGACTATAGACTAGACTATAGACTAGACTATAGACTAGACTATAGACTAGACTATAGACTAGACTATAGACTAGACTATAGACTAGACTATAGACTAGACTATAGACTAGACTATAGACTAGACTATAGACTAGACTATAGACTAGACTATAGACTAGACTATAGACTAGACTATAGACTAGACTATAGACTAGACTATAGACTAGACTATAGACTAGACTATAGACTAGACTATAGACTAGACTATAGACTAGACTATAGACTAGACTATAGACTAGACTATAGACTAGACTATAGACTAGACTATAGACTAGACTATAGACTAGACTATAGACTAGACTATAGACTATAGATACTAGACTATAGACTAGACTATAGACTAGACTATAGACTAGACTATAGACTAGACTATAGACTAGACTATAGACAAGACTATAGACTAGACTATAGACTAGACTATAGACTAGACTATAGACTAGACTATAGACTAGACTATAGACTAGACTATAGACTAGACTATAGACTAGACTATAGACTAGACTATAGACTAGACTATAGACTAGACTATAGACTAGACTATAGACTAGACTATAGACTAGACTATAGACTAGACTATAGACTAGACTATAGACTAGACTATAGACTAGACTATAGACTAGACTATAGACTAGACTATAGACTAGACTATAGACTAGACTATAGACTAGACTATAGACTAGACTATAGACTAGACTATAGACGAGACTATAGACTAGACTATAGACTAGACTATAGACTAGACTATAGACTAGACTATAGACTAGACTATAGACTAGACTTAGACTAGACCTATAGACTAGACTATAGACTAGACTAGAGACTAGACTATAGACTAACTATAGACTAGACTATAGACTAGACTATAGACTAGACTATAGACTAGACTATAGACTAGACTATAGACTAGACTAATAGACTAGACTATAGACTAGACTATAGACTAGACTATAGACTAGACTATAGACTAGACTATAGACTAGACTATAGACTAGACTATAGACTAGACTATAGACTAGACTATAGACTAGACTATAGACTAGACTATAGACTAGACTATAGACTAGACTATAGACTAGACTATAGACTAGCTAGACTAGACTAGACTATAGACTAGACTATAGACTAGACTATAGACTAGACTATAGACTAGACTATAGACTAGACTATAGACTAGACTATAGACTAGACTATAGACTAGACTATAGACTAGACTATAGACTAGACTAGACTAGACTATAGACTAGACTATAGACTAGACTATAGACTAGACTATAGACTAGACTATAGACTAGACTATAGACTAGACTATAGACTAGACTATAGACTAGACTATAGACTAGACTATAGACTAGACTATAGACTAGACTATAGACTAGACTATAGACTAGACTATAGACTAGACTATAGACTAGACTATAGACTAGACTATAGACTAGACTATAGACTACTAGGCTAGACTATAGACTAGACTATAGACTAGACTATAGACTAGACTATAGACTAGACTATAGACTAGACTATAGACTAGACTATAGACTAGACTATAGACTAGACTATAGACTAGACTATAGACTAGACTATAGACTAGACTATAGACTATACTATAGGCTAGACTATAGACTAGACTATAGATTAGACTGTAAACTGTACCATGGATCAATACAAGGCCCCCTTTGAAAATAAATTCATATCGATGAAGATATCTTATATTTGAGCTTGAGCTATTGAGCTTGAGATATTGTGCTACGCAATGGTGGAGGGTATTCAAAAATCGTTTTCTTTGTTTCCTTTTCACAGGAGTAGTTTAGACTTTAGATCAGGCATGGAAATTTAAAAATTGTTCTACATTTTTCAAAAAGGAGTGCTTTATAGAATTAAAAGAAAGACCAGTGCATAGATCAGTTTATAGTCTAAGGTAGTCTAACTATGGAATAGTTTGTTGTGTATACTAGTGTATGGACTAGTCTATAGAATAGTCCGTTGACTAATATATATATTAGTATGTGGTACTGGACTAGTCTGTGGTTGACTAGTTCATGGACTCTTCTGTTGACTAGCCAATGGACTATTGGAAACCTTATTGTCTAGTCTAGAAACTATAAATTGACACCAATATATGTATTATAACTTAAATAAATACAAATTTGGAAATCAAAGAAAACCACTCCAGTGTACAAGGAAATAAAAAGAAAACGACTATTTTTACTTAAGACTAATATCTATTTTTATAAAAAATAAGTATAAAATCATGTTCTCTAACCTTTTAACTTACATGCTGTTACAACGGTAATAATTTTGTAATCCGGTATAAACGCATGACATATAGGCGTAGGGTGGTAAAGATGATGATTGTTGCTGTAGAACATCATCAAATTGTTGCTGCTGCTGATGTTGTTGTTGCTCTGGTATGGGCTTATTGCTCAATTGTGTACCGGTTGAGATTTCTGAAATCAAAGCTTGTTCATATGGTGTCGACAACAATGGTACGAGTATAGAATTATCATTTATGTTTTTGTTTTTATTGTTAATGTTAGTATTTTGTAAAAAATCCATACCCGCTCTTTTGCCGTAACGTGAACTCAAGAAAAATCTATCGTTACGTGGTACAACATTTAAGCGACGTGTCTTTGAGGTGGCAAACAATGATGAACCTGATGATGACGATGAACCGGATCTGCCATAACGACTGCCAACAAAGAATGATGGTCGTTTGTGCAATGTTAACGCATCTGCTTGAATTACAATGAAGGAACAGAGAAAAGGAAAGAAAAGAAAAAAGTGTTAGAAAAAGTTAGAATAGACGAAAATGCAAATAAACATGAAGGTTTAGCATGTTCTCTAATTACAATCTTTTGGTAATTTAAGATGTTTGTAAATATTTACAAACATAGAAATTTAATAATTATATACACACATACATATTACATACGTATGTACGTGTTCTATTATTAATGTTTTTTTGATTTGAAAGTATTTTGTTGTTTGTTTTGAATGTAATGGAAGTTGTAAACAATGTACAGAGTAAAATATCCAAAAAGTACCATTTGGAAAACGAAAAGTACCATTTTAATCTAACTAACTAACTAACTAACTACTAACTAACTAACTAACTAACTAACTAACTAACTAACTAACTAACTAACTAACTAACTAACTAACTAACTAACTAACTAACTAACTAAACTAACTAGACTAAACTAACTAACTAACTAACTAAACTAACTAACTAACTAACTAACTAACTAACTAACTAACTAACTAACTAACTAACTAACGAACTAACTAACTAACTAACTAACTAACTCACAACTAACTAACGAACTAACTAACTAACGAACTAACTAACTAACTAACTAACTAACTAACTAACTAACTAACTACTACTAACTAACTAACTAACTAACTACTACTAACTAACTAACTAACTAACTAACTAACTAACTAACTACTAACTAACTAACTAACTAACTAACTAACTAACTACTAACTAACTAACTAACTACTAACTAACTAACTAACTAACTACTAACTAACTAACTAACTAACTAACTAACTACTAACTACTAACTAACTAACTAACTAACTAACTAACTAACTAACTAACTAACTACTAACTAACTAACTAACTAACTACTAACTAACTAACTAACTAACTAACTAACTAACTAACTAACTAACTAACTAACTAACTACTAACTAACTAACTAACTACTAACTACTCTAACTAACTAACTACTAACTAACTAACTAACTAACTAATACTAACTAACTAACTAACTAACTAACTACTAACTAACTACTAACTAACTAACTAACTAACTAACTAACTACTAACTAACTAACTACTAACTAACTACTAACTAACTAACTAACTAACTAACTAACTAACACTAACTAACTAACTAACTAACTAACTACTAACTAACTAACTACTAACTAACTAACTAACTACTAACTAACACTAACTAACTAACTAACTAACTAACTAACTAACTACTAACTAACTAACTAACTAACTAACTAACTAACTAAACTAACTAACTAACTAACTAACTAACTACTAACTAACTACTACTAACTAACTAACTAACTAACTACTAAACTAACTAACTAACTAACTAACTAACTAACTACTAACTAACTAACTAACTAACTAACTAACTAACTAACTAACTAACTAACTACTATAACTAACTCTAACTAACTAACTAACTAACTAACTAACTAACTAACTAACTAACTACTAACTAACTAACTAACTAACTAACTACTACTAACTAACTAACTAACTACTAACTAACTACTAACTAACTAACTAACTAACTAACTACTAACTAAACTAACTAACTACTAACTAACTAACTAACTAACTAACTAACTAACTAACTAACTAACTACTAACTACTAACTAACTAACTAACTAACTAACTAACTAACTAACTAACTAACTAACTAACTAACTACAACTAACTAACAACTAACTAACTAATAAATAACTAACTAAATAATAACTAAAAACAAATAACTAAAAAACTAAAAAAGAAAAAAATAACGAACTAACTAAACTAACTAAAAACTAACTAACTAACTAACTAACTAACTAAAAACTAACTACTAACTAACTAACTAAACTAACTAACTAACTAACTAAACTAACTAACTACTAACTAACTAACTAAACTAACTAACTACTAACTAACTAACTAACTAACTAACTAACTAACTAACTAACTAACTAACTAACTAACTAACTAACTAAACTAACTAACTAACTAACTAACTAACTAACTAACTAACTAACTAACTAACTAACTAACTAACTAACTAACTAACTAACAGTCAGAATAACAAATTTAAATTATGTTTTAATAGGTTTTCAACCCCAACCCATGTAATTCTTTTTTATTTGTATTTATTTATGCATATGAATGTATGTATTTACGTATTTTTTGTTTGTAATAACACATACATTTACAAATATGTATATAAATATATAATATAATTTATGTAAATACTTTTTCCGCTTTTACTTTACCTTGTTTTGTATCTGTGGGATTATCAATAAATTGATCTGTGGGCTCTAAACTGCATTTAACCGCCATAAAACACAATGACAACAATAAAATTGTCAAGTGACACAAGGATTTCGCATCAACCATTTTGCTTAAAATATTTAATGGGTTGAGTATGAAGTTGGAAAAATAAAATTCTCAGATAAAAAAAAAAAAATAATACAAGAGTTAAATCGATTACAGGAAAGATGGTTATGTGGGCGGTTTAAAGGAACTGCAATAAAATAAAATATAAAAAATACAACAATATTATTATTTATTATATTATTATGATAATATTATAAAATACATATTTATCTTAAAGTTTGCAAAAAGAAACAAAAATTTTAAAAAATAAGGAAGTGTTTGGTTCTACAAAAAAAAAAAACCGTCAGTTTTGACGGGAAAAACATCAAATTGTCAACAGTGATAACTTACAAAGTCACTAAAAATGTATGAAAACGTACACCAGACGTATGATTACTGTTATTACAATAAAATCTATCATACGCCCATTTACTATTATAAATTTTTACTTCAAATAAATCTTTAACTATTTTCGATATCTTGATAATACAAACATTATTAATTTATGATTTTTTTTATTTCCAACTTGGGGTCACTTCCTGTTTACACCTGTTGGTCAATACTTTAACATTTTACTATAAAGCGTTTTTCTTTTATTGAAACCACAAGCAATTTACATTGTGTGGCTTGGCAGCATCATTCTCGTCATCATCATCATCATACATTTTATATTCTTTTTAACATTTTAATGTAACAAAAAATTAACTTTGACTCATAATTACTGGTAGTAATTACATTAGCGTTATTTATTTTTTTCATTTCACCATCATTATGCTCCGACAACTGTCTGTTCTTCTTGCCGTTAAAAAGTCAATGCAACAATTGCTTATCAAAGCAATTCCATCGATGCCATTGAAAACCAACACACTTAACTCAGCAAATTACACCTGCAATGCTGAAGTGAAGCTGCGTAAATTTATTTTACACATTCTTTTAAAGGGAAATTGTTAATTGTTGGCAGTATTTAAAGGTAGGCTGGACACCATGCGAAAGCGTAAAGATGGCCAATAACAAGCCAACACAACGAAGCAACATATTAAGTTGTTTTTTCTCTCATTTTTTTCTTTAATTTGCAGGTGGTCGGTGGTTTTTGGTGGGATTTTTTTTTTCACTTATTTGCTGTGTTTTTATTGAATAAAAAATTCCATTAATGATTCTGTGGCTTAATGAGTGTAAAATTTTGTGGATTACATTAAGAAGAGGCAAGAGGAGAGCATGTGAAAAAAAAACCAATAATTGTTTTAGCAACTTTTTATTTATTCATACATTTTAAAAGTTCAATTTAACACATTGTGAAAATGAATTTCATTAATTTTATTTAAGGAAATAAATTTTAATAAAAGCTCAAATTTACCGTGTCCGGGGTTAATGAACTGAGTTTGCAGAAAGTAAATAAAGTTTTAAATAAAATTGAGAAAATTGATAACGAAGTGTAAATGGTTTAGTAAATTGTTTTATTAGATATTTTTAATATCAAAAGAACAATTTAATCAAATTTGATTAAAAACTTGAAATTTTGACTTAGATTTACAAGTTGATCTAGTCTATAATATAGACTATAGTCTAGTCTATAATATAGTTTAAAATCTAGCCTATGGTCTAGTCTATTGTCTAGTCTATAATATAGTCTATACTATAGTCTATAACTAGTCTATAGTCTAGTCTATAATCTAGCCTATAGTCTAGTTATAGTGTAGGCTATAGTCTAGTTTATAGTGTAGTCTATAGTCTAGTCTATAGTCTAGTCTATAGTCTAGTCTATAGTCTAGTCTATAGTCTAGTCTATAGTCTAGTCTATAATCTAGTCTATAGTCTAGTCTATAGTCTCGTCTATAGTCTAGTCTATAGTCTATAGTCTAGTCTATAGTCTAGTCTATATTCTAGTTTATAGTCTAGTCTATAGTCTAGTCTATAGTCTAGTCTATAGTCTAGTCTATAGTCTAGTCTATAGTCTAGTCTATAGTCTAGTCTATAGTCTAGTCTATAGTCTAGTCTATAGTCTAGTCTATCGTCTAGTCTATAGTCTAGTCTATAGTCTAGTCTATAGTCTAGTCAATAGTCTAGTCTATAGTCTAGTCTATAGTCTAGTCTATAGTCTAGTCTATAGTCTAGTCTATAGTCTAGTCTATAGTCTAGTCTATAGTCTAGTCTATAGTCTAGTCTATAGTCTAGTCTATAGTCTAGTCTATAGTCTAGTCTATAGTCTAGTCTATCGTCTAGTCTATAGTCTAGTCTATAGTCTAGTCTATAGTCTAGTCTACAGTCTAGTCTATAGTCCAGTCTATAGTCTAGTCTACAGTCTAGCCTATAGTCTAGTGTATAGTCCAGCCTATAGTCTAGTGTATAGTCTAGTCTATAGTCTAGTCTATAGTCTATTCTATAGTCTAGTCTATAGTCTAGTCTATAGTCTAGTCTATAGCCTAGTCTATAGTCTAGTCTACAGTCTAGTCTATAGTCTAGTCTATAGTCTAGTCTATAGTCTAGTGTATAGTCTAGTCTATAGTCTAGTCTATAGCCTAGTCTATAGTCTAGTCTACAGTCTAGTCTATAGTCTAGTCTATAGCCTAGTCTATAGTCTAGTGTATAGTCTAGTCTATAGTCTAGTCTATAGTCTAGTCTATAGTCTAGTCTATAGTCTAGTCTATAGTCTAGTGTATAGTCTAGTCTATAGTCTAGTCTATAGTCTAGTCTATAGTCTAGTCTATAGTCTAGTCTATATGTCTAGTCTATAGTCTAGTCTATAGTCTAGTCTAAGTCAGCTATAGTCTAGTCTATAGTCAGTCATAGGTCCTAGTCTATAGTCTAGTCTACAGTCTAGGTCTATAGTCAGTGTATAGTCTAGTCTATAGTCTAGTTCTATAGTCTAGTGCTATAGTCTAGTCTATAGTCCTAGTCTATAGTCTAGTCTATAGTCTAGTCTATAGTCTAGTCTATAGTCTAGTCGATAGTCTAGTCTATAGTCTAGTCTATAGTCTAGTCTATAGTCTAGTCTATAGTCTAGTCTATAGTCTAGTCTATAGTCTAGTCTATAGTCTAGTCTATAGTCTAGTCTATAGTCTAGTCTATAGTCTAGTCTATAGGCTAGTCTATAGTCTCGTCTATAGTCTAGTCTATAGTCTAGTCTATAGTCTAGTCTATAGTCTAGTCTATAGTCTAGTCTATAGTCTAGTCTATAGTCTAGTCTTAGTCTAGTCTATAGTCTAGTCTATAGTCTAGTCTATAGTCTAGTCTATAGTCTAGTCTATAGTCTAGTCTAGTCTAGTCTATAGTCTAGTCTATAGTCTAGTCTATAGTCTAGTCTATAGTCTAGTCTATAGTCTAGTCTATAGTCTAGTCTATAGTCTAGTCTATAGTCTAGTCTAGTCTAGTCTATAGTCTAGTCTATAGTCTAGTCCTATAGTCTAGTCTATAGTCTAGTCTATAGTCTAGTCTATAGTCTAGTCTATAGTCTAGTCTATAGTCTAGTCTATAGTCTAGTCTATAGTCTAGTCTATAGTCTAGTCTATAGTCTAGTCTATAGTCTAGTCTATAGTCTAGTCTATAGTCTAGTCTATAGTCTAGTCTATAGTCTAGTCTATAGTCTAGTCTATAGTCTAGTCTATAGTCTAGTCTATAGTCTAGTCTATAGTCTAGTCTATAGTCTAGTCTATAGTCTAGTCTATAGTCTAGTCTATAGTCTAGTCTATAGTCTAGTCTATAGTCTAGTCTATAGTCTAGTCTATAGGTTAGTGTCTATAGTCTAGTCTATAGTCTAGTCTATAGTCTAGTCTATAGTCTAGTCTATAGTCTAGTCTATAGTCTAGTCTATAGTCTAGTCTATAGTCTAGTCTATAGTCTAGTCTATAGTCTAGTCTATAGTCTAGTCTATAGTCTAGTCTATAGTCTAGTCTATAGTCTAGTCTATAGTCTAGTCTATAGTCTAGTCTATAGTCTAGTCTATAGTCTAGTCTACAGTCCAGTCTATAGTCTAGTCTATAGTCTAGTCTATAGTCTAGTCTTAAGTCTAGTCTATAGTCTAGTCTATAGTCTAGTCTATAGTCTAGTCTATAGTCTAGTCTATAGTCTAGTCTATAGTCTAGTCTATAGTCTAGTCTATAGTCTAGTCTATAGTCTAGTCTATAGTCTAGTCTATAGTCTAGTCTATAGTCTAGTCTATAGTCTAGTCTATAGTCTAGTCTATAGTCTAGTCTATAGTCTGGTCTATAGTCTGGTCTATAGTCTAGTCTATAGTCTAGTCTATAGTCTAGTCTATAGTCTAGTCTATAGTCTAGTCTATAGTTTAGTCTATAGTCTAGTCTATAGTCTAGTCTATAGTCTAGTCTATAGTTTAGTCTATAGTCTAGTCTATAGTCTAGTCTACAGTCTAGTCTATATTCTAGTCTATAGTCTAGTGTTTAGTGTATCCTATAGTCAAGTCTATTTGTAGAATCTAAAGAAAATCCGAAAATTTTAAAAAGTTCATAAATTGGTTATTGTGAAGCATTTAGAGAGAGATTTCTCCACAGCTTTATCAAATATCTATTTTGTTACCAATATTCCGGACGAATATTTTAATTTACAAACTAAAGCAAACAATTTATCTAAATCAAAATGATTTTATGTATTTCTTTCTTTTTTGTTTTGGCAATTTCAATTCATTAAAACGACATTAAAACAAAAGTTTACAACAATTTGTTAACCGGTATTTTTATACTTTATTTTGGCAAACAAATTATAAAGACTAATTAAAATTTACGATTTAATAGGTAACTTTAATATAAATTAAATTAAAACATTCATATATAAACTTTAATACTAGCCAATGACGATGAACATATGATATTTTTATAGCTAGAAAATGGACATAAATTGAAATTTATTTGACAATTAAGATTATGTCAAATGAAAAAAGAAACGAAAATAAAAATGTAATTAAAAATAAAAGGAATATTTTTTGTAACAAATGAAATTGATTTCGCTTGGTTAAAGGTTTTTAATTTATTATAAATAAAAATAATAATATAAATATAGGAGCCATGAAAGTGTAACCTAAATAATTTCTTCTGTAAAACTATTTCTTGTGTTTTTTCTGGTATAATTATATAGTTTATAATTTAGACACTCCTGTTTTAAACAGAAAAAAACTAACATTAAATATGCGTGGCATTT